ATCGATTGAGGACTCATCGACTGAATAGACGGCTGTCTCACCACCGAACTCAGATCCTCCTTCCAGATCTACTCCTTGAGTAAATCCAACAAAGACATGCTTCGGGGCGGCTTGAACCTTGGCGGGTCGCGTGCGCTGAGCCATCTCGACGATGTCAGCGCAGGTCTCCAGCTCAGCTTTCGACTCACCAATCTTGCTGATGAAGACATGAATTCCACCGAAGGGGACCCGGTACCCGTACTAGATTAAGCTGGCCTTGGGGCCCCAGCCCGTGTCGTCGATGTAGAGCTTGTCGCGATGACTCTTGGGAATCCGGCCCACATCGTGTCCATTGAGCCATGCGAAGCTGCCCTTCAAGAACTCGAAACCACCATGCGCTGGCCCCACGGTGGGCGCCAACTGTCGTGGAATTATCACGGCACATGCCCTAGCAATAGGACTTAGGTGTGGAGCCATCACAATGTAGTTAGCTTGAAGGGGTTAAACAGGACAAAGGACACAGAGAGTTTTTACCCAGGTTCGGCCCCTCTCAACGAGGTAAAGGCCTACTCCTGTTTTAGGTTTTATTGCTTGGGTTTCGATTACCAGGGAGCGAATACGCTTGACCTAGTTCTCAACTTGTTGTTTTTCTGCCTTAACCTGCCACCGGGTCATCCCTTTATATACACAGGTTGATGCCCGACGGCTTACAGAGTCCCGTCCGGCTCATACACAACGTGTCCGGCTCGGTGACCAAACTAAACTTTCCTTAACATACAAGTTAAACATATGGCGGTTTATGCCCGTGGGCCTTAAGTCACCTCCGGGTCTTGGGCCTTCAGTAAGCTTGCTTCATGAACCGTCGTTTCAATATCTTCTTGGACCTTCTCATTATGAACCGCCGGTGGTATGACCCGACCCCTCCTGGCCGGGTCATACCCAATAGTTATATCCCCAACAGGAAGCCTCTCGTCAAACATGATCATCCTCCTCTAACAATGATGATGTGAAGACTGCATAAATGGTACATGGATACCTGCAAGTCTGGGACTGGGAAGGATAGTTTGATGTTGGGAATTAAATAGGAGCACGACCTCGTTGAAACGGATCTGTTGCCTATTCAATTTGTGGAGTTATTCCAGTTATACAATCAAGATGCCCTCGACAAACAACTCATAACTTGCTACTGGCTGTAAGTATTACTTCTATAACTAAGTCTCTATAGCTCAGCTTTTTCATTCCATGTATATATAATTATCCTCACTATATTATGCGGATTGAAGATCGTCGAATGAAAAAAAACAAATCTATTACATTGGGTTCATTAACCCAAATATCATAAATGAATGGTCAGTTCAAAACAGAGTCGAAGATACGGATGACAACTTGCTACAATCATTACTTCGAAATCAAAACAAAGGGAAAAATACTCTTTCCTTACAACTTCAAGTGAGTGTTACTGTCTTGTGCATATTCGGTTTCACTTACTCGAGGTTAATAATAGTAATGTAACTAATGAGTTAGGCATGCGTGCGCAGCTTCCATTTTATTCTGCTAGAGATTAAGCATGACCAAGGAGTAGTAACTGTCTTAGACTCGAGACAAAAAGATCCCCAGGACTATGCGGACATGACTGCAATGCTCCAGAAGTAAGTTCAATCGATCATTATCGCACCATAGCAGCAACATTTGTTCATTTACTGATATCAAGTAATTATTTTCTTTGTCTGACAGGGTTTGAAAGAGTTCACCTGAATTATTCCGGGACTACTGAGGGAGCTGCAATTTACACACCTGAAAGTAAGTAGTACTAGCTAGTCCCGCGCATCTCCAATTGATTCTAGTTTCATCAATACCATTTATCATGCTTGATTGTCAGTTTGATTGAACTCTATTTCTCGTAAAGGTCTTGTGGCAGGAAGGCGGGAATAATTTATATGGATACTACGTTTGCGGTTCATCTACATCGCGACCTCTCAACGGGGCTACTCTGCAAAACAATATGAAGTACGTAAACAATAATATTCACAATTTTATTTTATTACCATCATTTGTGTTGAGTTTCATTCATATATATGTATTGACCCCCTTCTTTAAATTAGATGTGGCAGATGCGGGATGAACTCCTACCACATGATCGCATACGAGCACTTCAAGAGGAATTGGCGGGATTCTTTCTTGACCACATCATAAATGAGAAGGGAGAATACTATGTGGAAATTAAAATGGATTTTAGATGTTAGGGATTGTAAGAGATGTTATATTATATATATGTAGTAGCGTCGATATACGAAAACTTGTTGTTCGACCAATGAGGTCAGTTCTCTCTGTATATGTCCATGACAATCTTGTGTAATGAATGGTTCCTTCATTTGCTTACTCTAGCTAGCGTGTCGAGTTCTCTCTATATGTATAGTAGCTAGTGTCGAGCAAGCACGGAGAAAGATAGGTCACTTCTCTCTATTAGCTAGCTAACACAATATGAAACCCCCAAATTAACCCTCCAAAACCCCTACCCCCCTCCCTTTTAAAAAAACCCCAGCGCCTGCGAGCTACTGACGCGTGGTAGCCTTTTGGTCCCGATTGGTGTTACCAACCGGGACTAAAGGTCCTCCTACCTGAGCGCCCCGCAACGACCACGTGGAGCCTCTTCTGTCCCGGTTCGTAAGCGAACCGGGACTAAACTAAAGGTTTTGGGCTTTAGTCCCGATCCTTTAGTCCCGGTTCCAGAACCGGGACTAAAGGCCCTCTGAAACCGGGACTAATGCCCTATTTTCTACTAGTGTATGGTACCTCATTCTTTCTATATATTAATTACAAATCCTTGGTAATTTAAATAATCTGGTGGGTGGACGCCTTGCAAACAGGAGGGGTATTATCACCAGTTGTATGTACATCATTTGTTGCGTACATTACACTATTCACATCGATAGCTAATCGGGGGATATGTTGAAATTATGTCAAATACATGTACTAGTATGTTGCAGTTGGACTTGTGATGCAGCTAGCAGGTATAGTTAAGTACTAGAGGCCAATGCGCACTTCGCAACGCCATTCTTCATACCCATGATTAACTCTTTTATATCTGATAGATTATTGTGACCGGTTGTTTTGTTTGGATTTTATCTTTGTTGGCTTGTGTTTTAGTTATGTTTTGGTGGTGTTTTTTTCGTTCGTATATCTCGTGTCAGGTTGCCTCTGGAGACAATATTTGTTCCGAGAGAACAGTGGAGTTGTTTGATGTGTGATTGTGATGTATTTACCAGTTTCGACCTCCATATCAGTCGTTGGTGGTGTTTCGGCCTCTTGGGAGCTCCTATACCAGGCGAAAACCATGGAATTGGTGCTATAACACTTGCATATGGGCCGCCCCATGAAGCTCTCGGTTGCTTAGCTTCTTTTTCCGCTTGTCCTACCGCCAGCTCCGTAATAATTGTTTTTTTATTTGAAAGTGTTAGTTTAATTAAAATATTTTCAAGGATTTAAAATTGTTGAAAATTTAAAAAACATTGATTTTAGAAAGAAGTTCTTGAATTTCAAAAATTATTCAAAAATTAAATAAGGTTTCAAATTTAAAATGTTCACAAACATTAAAAATGACCTTGAACTTAAAAATACCCATGAATTTGATAAATAATAATGAATCTGTACAAAATGTTAAATTTTTCAAAAAATGTTTTTAATACTCACAAATTTTCTCATGAATAAGAATGTGAAAGAAAGAGAATAAGAAATAAAACTAAATACGTAGCACATAACCTTACATGCGGGCCCGTGGCGACCACACAACCCCCAAAACACCACAAGCTTTAAAACATGGGAGCTTAGTATCTCTATAGACTAGTCGAACAATCACTAGTCAAAAAAAGTCGATCAATCCAAGCCGTTGGTGATGTGTTTGAATCAAACATGTTGGGACCAAGGTTTTGATTACCGAATGAGGCAATTTTACCGAGGGGGACTGGTAAATGTGGTTACCACGGTTACCGAGAAATACCGAGAATATTTCGAGCGAATTTTATAGTTGAATTTTGAATTTAAATCAGGGAATGAATGAATATTCGAACCAGAGACCTCTCAAAACAGGAACTAGGTTGCTACCAACATGCCAGAACCAACTCTAATGGTATTAATTAGATCCTACGTATTTTACTATAAATTGGGTGTTTAAATTCAAAAATTTCAAAAAAATGGTATTTTTTGCTTGGTATGGCGATTTACCGAGGGGCACGGAAATACGCGGTAACCATGGGAAATCTTGAAATTTCGACTGGTAACCAAAACCTTGGTTGGGACGTGCCAAAAGAGAATAGTCAATCAATCCGAGCAGTTGGTGATGCATAATGAATGATAGGGATACAAGTGGGTAGGGCTGGACCAAAACCTTGTAGGTCGTAGCTCGCGAACTTAATGAGCGCTTGATAGTTCGGCTCGTTAAGCTCGTACCTCGCTTCTTAATAAACAGAGCCATCATTGATTTCAGCTCGTTAAGCTTAACGAGCTTAACAAGCGAGCTAACGAGTTTCACGAGTAGCTCGTTAAGCTCGTTAGTAACAACACAACACATATTTCTTTCCCTAATAATAAAGCACGGATTGACTCCATGGGTTCACCGTCACAATACATTTCTTTCCTTGAATTTACGCTTTCAGTTTTTTTTACCTATATTATTTTCTACATCCAAGGTGGTACTATTCATGTGTCATAATATGACAAACTTTTTGTTTCACCTCAGCCCATCTATTCAATCTAATCGACATATGAGGCAACAAACTACTACATTTCTTTTTATAGTCACCATATTTTATCTTGAAAACCATACATATACATTCATCATGTATATCGTAACACATTATAATCTCTTAACGAGCGCTCACGAGCTTAACGAGCTTCAAACGAGCTGAGCCGAGCAGAGTTTTCTGTTTGTTAATCTTAACGAGCACGAGCTTAACGAGTACGAGCTTCGAGCCGAGCTGCTCGTTAATCCACCCCTAGAAGTGGGTACCCTTTAACATGTTTGTTTAGTTAACATATGGATCAACCCAACATGCATCAGATTGAGTAGCATACTTCCATCTTTCTTGAAAACGGACCTGTTCCTCTTGAGCCCGATGCCTAATCTGCAACAATCAATGCAAATATATTTGGTTTTAGGTCCATAGTTTATAATGATACAACAAGGAGAATGATTGTGAGTTGACCAGATGTTGGTTAGTGAGAAGTTATGTTACCAATGATCTGTCACCGAAGCTGGGCGATGCTTCAGGAGGAGGCGCCTACATACATACGGTTATGACTTCCCAATTACTAACAGTTAAACGTTCAAAGTACACTAGTATTCAGCAATACATACCATCATTGATTCTATAGGCGCCTCCGATTCATCTCCTGGTGCTGCATCGGAGCTACTCTGTACTTCACATAAATAAATGGATAGATATGTGTTATCGACCAATCTAGTCTGTCTCCGTGTAGTTCTTTCTAGCTAGGATGGATGGATCAAACGATGACGTATGTACCTTGTTGTCTTTAGAAGGAGGAGAAGAAGAGGAGCCGAGTGTGGGGATGCCCAAATGAAGGAGGTACTCGCTGTCGACTACTCCAACGTTCTTACTCCGACCCCCCTGCCATCATCGGTTCATCCATCCATCATGACATCCCTCTCATAAGGGAATACAAATGGTCTCCGGCCCTGTCACCTCACCTGAGCGCAACAGCCGAATTTGAAGTCCAAGCCCCATGCATGAATCAGATAGTTCTGCATTATATGCACATATGCATTAATTTATTGTGTCTAATAGTTGGTATGCAGGAGAGAGAAGAGAATCAAGCTTAGTCACCTGGATCATATGCCACACACAATGCCATGCTGCTCTTGAGAACACGGGAGCCACAATTTCGACAAATCTGCACATATAGTCCAGTAAATATCCAATCCACAAGTGATCTATTAAGGTGGGAGAAACAACTAGCCAAGTAATTGCCACGTCGATCATCCAGCTTGCAGCAGCAACAACAACAATAACAATAACAAGTACCCAGTGCATGGAAGCGCCGTACTGTTTTCATAGCACCTGGTGACTCCCTTTTGCTTGTAAATCCTTCTGTATATATGCATGTGCATTTATTATTTAAAGAAACTAAAATAGGAAACTAGAGAAGCTGGACTTTAAGTTGTAAAGGAAACACAAAAGTTATCCATGTACTCCATGCACCTATGGAAGCCCCCTTTCCGCGCACGCGCAGTGATCCAGTGATGAACCTTGGAATTGGTAGCGTCTAGAGCAGGCTGTGATATCTGAAGCCCTTCCTTTTCAACAATCGCCACATATCTGCGAGGTACGTACGTGCACAGATTGTAAGAAATAAACCACATGAATTGATTGCCGAGACGAAAACACACCTGGCAGGATGAAAATGCTGCACTCCAAGGTCTTCGTCCCAGACGAAGATGTAGTCGTACTCGTGGACGATGTCCGGGTGCAGGAACCGCTTGGCGAACCACCATTTCGTCTGGTTGACCGCCGAGACGTGCACGGCGGCGCTGCTCCACCGCAGATCCCCCCACTGCTCCACCACGCCGTCGTAGTGGAAGATCATTATGCTGAAACCGTCGGAGAAGAACTGCGCACGGCCATGCCGATGCCGATGCCGATGCCCGCGCAACAACCGATCAGATCACATGATCAGGAATGCATGGAAGAAAATAAGAGGAACTAAATGCACGCGCGTGTACCTTGGTGGCGATCCTATCCACAACCTCCTTCTGCTTGATTCCAGCAGCAACGGCCAGCAGGCTTCTCCTTTTGCCCTGAATGCATCAACGAATTGGATGCAATTTCGTTTGTCAAACCAAGAAGAAGAAGATACGTACACTTTCTGCTGGCGGAGGCCAACTTGTTAGATCGTCATGAATGGATCGCATCTCCAAGTCCGAGTGGCTCTCAATGATGCCTCTAGGCAACGCGGCCTCGCTCCGCGCGGGCCTGCAACGTTGCTGCTTGCTGCACCGCCGGCTGTAGTCGGCGCTCCGGAGCCATGCCGTCACAGCTCGCGGCTGGCTGCCGGGCTGAAGCAAGACCAGAGCGGCGGCGAGGAACAGAGCAAACAGCGCGGAAACAGAGGCGACGCGAGCGGAACAAGACGAACAGGGCACGGGCATTCTCCTCAGTCGTCAGTCGTCACCACCTTGCGCTGGAATCACATGGGTTCACGATGGAGTGAGTTGTATGGCCAATCAACGCCTAACAACCGAATTCATGTCCATGGATGGAGCCATGTCAACCGTAACCTGCACGGACTTGGACAGGTCACAGCGGATTAGTAGTGGTAGTAGTAGAATAGGGATCCTGGTCAGCACGTGATGGCCATTAACGTACGTGCGTCGGTTGGTACCTGCAGGTTGCGCGCGAACCCCTCGTCGACAAAATTACTGCCATGCTCAACGCGCGAGCACGTTGAGATCCCTATATATACACCTAGAGGTGTATGTAAGGGAACTCTTAGTCATACAGTAGAAATTTGATAGCATCGTTAATGTATTCCAGAGTCTCCAAGCCCGTGTGGAAGAACACGCTTGTTATCATTTTTCATTCCTGCTGGCCATGCCCTATTGCCTTAGCCGTTGCAAGCCTCCGTCTTGTCCTTGGCACGCTGCAATCATATAAGCCTCGCGCTGGGCATGCTCTAGTCTTATGTTTTCTTGGTTCCCCACTCTGATGATCGAAGGTGGAATTTTTTTCAATAAAGGGCGCTTTTATTATCTCAAAATATAGCATCAAAATGATACAAAGCATTAAAAGTATCACCCGGCCTCTGCATAACTATGATGCACACAGCCAAACACCAGTAGTCTGATAAACAGAAAGATAAAAGACCGACAATTCGACAACAGTAGAGTCCATAGACCGACACTATGTCTATGTCGAAAGAGATGGTGGACCGAGCCGGAGATTATGCTGCCATCCATGTTGGGTAAAAACCTCACTAGTAGAAAAAGGGCTTTTGTTCCGGTTGGTAAGGCCCTTTAGTCCCGATTTTTGAACCGGGACTAAAGGGTCGTTACTAATGCCTCTCCCCTTTAGTCCCGGTTCTTACACGAACCGGGACTAAAGGAAATTTTATGATTTTTTTTTTGAAATTTTTTTAATAATTTTTTTGAATTTTTTTATTTTCAAATTTTTGAATTATTTTAACCTCTAATCTCTAATCATCACCCCTCATCACTGCTCAATTTATCCTCTAATCTCTAATCACCCCTCATCATTCCAAATCATCTAACTTCCCGAACGGTCACCCATCCTCCCACTCCCCCAGCCTGAGCATGCTTAACTTTCGGGTTCTATTCTCCCTCGTTTCCAAGTCTGCACTAGTTGTTTTCCTGACAATAGTAAGATGTCAATCCTATTAACCCTCAGGAATTTTGCTTGAGCATGAAGTGACACATTTCACTGTTTGAGTTTGAAACTATTGTTTTAAAAAACAATAATTATTTAGTAACACTAATATTTCTTGAATAATTAGTTTGACCATTGTTTGACCACAGTTTGACCAGATTTGACCAAAATTCAAAATAACTGAAATAATTATTTAGTAACACTAATATTCTAGAATAATTAGTTTGACCATTGTTTAACCACAGTTTGACCACAGTTTGAAAAAATTTCGATTTTTTCCACTCTAGATCTTAAAAGCCCCGTAACTTTTTTCCTGTTAGGTTTTTGAGGATTTTGAAAATGTTTAACAAAGTTACCCCCGTTAAATTTGGATGTAACTTTCCGAGTAGATGATTCATATAAAAAACTTTTTCATCCGAGTTAGTATGCAAAAGTTATGCTCATTTTACTAAATTCTAAAGAGATTTTGCAAATAAAGTCGAAATTCACATTTGCAAATTTTTCAAACAACCAGACCACATATCACATGGGACACTTATTTTCTTTTATTTTTTTGACATTTTCATCATTTTCTTTTATTTTTTTTA